AAACAATTATTTCTACAAGATAATAAAATCTTGAAATTATACTATAATTGAGCATTATGAGGATTACAACTAGCCTTAAGAAGGTATGTGAATATCTGAATTGTGGGTTTATGATAACTCAGCAATTGGTAGGAAAAAAATGTATTTCTCCTTTCTTTCAGTTTTGGACAAAAATGAAACTAAGTTTGTAAGAGGAATATTTATAGTAATAGAAGTTTTATGTTGTCTTGAAAATTGTAAAAAAGTAGGAGCTAAGCACTATGTAGATAGTTCAATTCTTCACACCATTTACTAAGATTTGTGACCACAGGAAGCTATTTAACTCTTTTGTGTGCTAGTTTGTGCAGCCATAAATGGGGGAAATAATAATTTATATATAAATTTGTTGATAAATATTAAATGTTAAATTAAGATAATTAAAAGTAAACTCAGCCATAGAGAAAACAGCAAAAAGGAAAACAGGTAGTATTAATAAATATTAGAAAAGTTAACATAAGGTTACCTACAAGAATTTTCTGTGAGTTAACATGGATTTGTTCTTTGTTTTTTAAAAAGGCAGCTTTATTAGGGAAGGGGGAAAAAAAAAGAAAAGTGGCCTCACAGCCACAGGCAGGATAGGAGAACTGCCTCAACATAGAATGTTAAAAATATAACAGATGCTTACCTTATATTTCATTAATTAATAGTAACACTGTCCTTTTATAAATAATCATTATCTGAATGTGTGATTTCTATAAACTCTTCAAATACCTCAAAAGTTTCTGTGAAAAAAATAACCAGTAGTTTGCATGTATTATCAGCACTCAGTAAATAAGAATATTTGACAGGTTAAAACAACTAATTTCCTATGTCAGAGAACCCATCCGTCAAACCTTATGGCACTAGCAGTAAATTACTCTGCTTGCTAAACAATCTGACAAAACACTGCAGGAGCCCTTACCTATCTTCATCTTTGTCATAGAGTTGGTAATAATCTCCACACCCATTCCAAAAGGTGTTATCCACAACTTCTTGCCTTCCTGCTATGGCACCACCTTCTGATGGCATTTGGTTGGCTGTTTCCCTTGGTGTAACTCTTGAATAAGGTGGATCCAAGAACATACAGTCATGTTCTCCATCATAGTCATCACACTTTATTAGGAGGTCATCTGAGCCATTTTCCTCAACTTCCAAAGCCTCTCTCCACCGTTGAACACTTCTTTGTTTGGCTTCATGCCTATTAAAACCTGTTTCTTGGTCCACTTGACTTGAACTTATCACTTTTCTAACTTTTGGTCTCACTACCTGTTCAGGAGAACTTCCCTGGTTCTTGTCCCTATCTCTGGTATTTTGTTCACGGTTAATATGCCCTGAAGTACAGGTTGAATCTACAGTTGAATTTCCTTTCTGGTTCTCCTTGGTAGCATTTTGTTGTTTCTTTCTAACAATTTCATCTTCAGAAGAGGACCTCTGAAATTCCTGATTCTTCTGATGGACAAACTCAGTTTCACCAGTAGTACTTTTTACTAAAGGTGCTGAATCTAACTCTTGAAATTCACCTCTTACATTAGCATTAAAAGAAGGAACTGCCTGTGAAAGATCAGCATATGCCTCCGCCTCTCCATTTTCTAATCCAAACATTGTATTGCCCAGTGCTTCCTGATATCTATCACCTTCCACAATTTCTGCAGAAAGTTGAAGATGGTTAATATCCTCCACCTGTCTTCCAGCTGGATCATAAGAGTCAGTAGGAACCACTGCAATTCCATTTTGGATACTTGAAGCATGATAAGCTCCTGGCGTATATTCTCCCTCAAAGTGATTATGAAGATTCATACTGCTTCCTAAGGTCTCCCTGCCTCCCTCGCTATGAGGTACTGCAGCAAAGGGTGCACTGTTCTCAGTAGTCTGACTTAATGCTGTGTCACAAACAGGGATTTCTGTTTCATTTTTTTCAAACAAGGAGTCGTTGGGTAAAGAATGATCTTGATCCTCTGGACTGGAACCTTCACAGAAAAAAGAAAACATACTTGGAGGAATTCATTTAAATAATTTTTTTTTTACTAGTGACTATTTAAGTGGAAGTTATACCATTTATTTCTTAGGAGAGTAAAAGTGAATAAAAAGAGTAAAAAGTGAAAAGAAAAAAAAAGAGTAAAAGTGAAAAAAAGCAGGTACTTCTATGACCCTTAACTAAATTGGGAGGGCAGAGAGGCTACCCTATGAGCTCAGTTAAGCCATTGTATAACCAACCTCTCAGTATCTTCTCCCTCAGATGTTTCTTGCAAGTTTTTCACCTAAATCCTCAAACATTCTGCAAAAGACACTGAAAGGAGAGGCTAATAAGAGGTTACACAATGAGAAGCATACTTGAAGTTAGAGGGTAAGCAATCTGCCCTCCCTGTTGTTGAAACATGTACTTCAAGCTTAACTTCTTTCATTCCATACAGGTAAAGTAACTTCAAAAATACTTATGATAGAAATAAGAACAGGTTGCAGATCTAACGAAAGTGAGATTCTCTTATCTTTTGATTGATGTCAATTCAAGAGACTGTACCTGTCTCTAATTTTATATATATATATTTCTATTCTGAAAATGGCTTGTTGCTATAAATTTGTAATAAGTTAAATTTAAATGTTATTTCTCTGACAAAAAAAAAAAAAAAGGTCAACATTTTGATTACCCTTGCCAGTTTGTCAGCATTCTGCTACAAGAGTAAAATCTTATCTATTGTATAAATTAAATAACCTAGAATTATCGAGTTTGTTCAAGTTGAGAGAAGATAACATTCCAGCCCCAATGTGTAATTATAGTACACAGATAACTGCTAAATATTTCCTTAAGCCACTAAATAATTTTTAAAAATTAATTAATTAAAGCATAATCTGACATTTGTATTTTATAAAATTTCAGCTCAAATTAGCCAAGCTAAATTATTTAGAGATACAATTAAAGCAAAAATAATTTAATCATAATAGGCAGAGAAAAATAGACTCAGTTTACATTTAAAAGTCTTTTTTTTCACTGACAGATGAAAAGGAAGTGACAATGTAATCAATGCCACACCATTACTGGCCATGTTCTATTTTTTCTAAGTATGAAAGTATAAACTATTCACATTCAATTCAATGAATATTTCAAAACAATTTCTTGACAGAAAATGTAGAGCATTTATTCTCATACATACATAAAACCCACTAGCAACTCCAAATATCATGAGATTAGTTCCTACTTGGTCAATAGCTTTCCAGTAATTCTATGCAGCATACCTGAGGAATTTTCCTTTGGAACATCATCTAATTCCAACACTTCATAGTCATCACCAGCCCGACCCAAGCTTCTTTCATGCCTGGTCATACATGGTTTAAAACTGACATAAGCATGTCTTCTTCCATATCTTCTTCCTGTAATTGTCTGATAGCCCCCTGCTGGTTTGGGCCAGGCAGCCTTGCCAGATTCTTGATCCATAGCTAAAAACAATGAAAGGCAAGCAATGACTTTTACTCTAGTAACCAGCAAGGTGGGATAGAGGGGGAGTAGGATGTTTCAACAAACATGTTTCTATTTGCCAAATTATAAGTTACTGAATATCAAGTGCACCTCACTACTACTTAAAAATTAACACTATAGGGCCCTCCCTGGTGGAGCAGCGGGTTAAAGCACTGCACTAAGAAGCTTAAGCCATTTCCGCATGAGTTCTATCTCCCCAAGGAGATCCACATGGCTGGCAAGGCAGACCTCTGCTGACCCGCCCGCTGCTCCCCTCAGCAGTGTACTTCCCCAGTCTGCCTGTTCTGCTCCCCACTCTGTTCCTGGTGAATCCTCTCACCCTCCACATCTCTGGCCTGTACCCCAGTTCTGTATGAATAAATAAATCTTAAAAAAAAAAATTAACATGATATATTAAGTTATAAGAATCATATGGCCTATTTATTCCTTCCCAAAATCTCTTAAAAGTTTGATTTCTCAAAGATACTTCAGAAATAGCTTAGTAAGGATTGGAGAATGAACCCCTGAATAATTTAAATATAGCACTTTATACATCAATATAAATGCTTAATAACTAGCCCATAAAACCAATCTCCAATTACATAAAAAATATAATAATGTCTAAGGTAAGAAGACACTTCTTTCTAGGTTATACACTTTCATAAAGAGCAAAACAAATGACAAAAAATATATTACAAATATTAGGGTGAGATGAAATTTTTCAACCGAAAATAATGTCAGACAAACACATGCTACCCCATCTTCCAAACTACAAATAGTACAATAATGGCAAGAAATCCCATCAGTTACTTGAATATTAATTTTGATGACCAAGGGACATATTGTGGTAAACAGTAGCATCTTACTACTAAATGGGATTAATATTTTACATATACATTAAATTTGCTTAGTCAATTACTCTTTATATATGCTATATAGGAGCTAAACAAAAAATTGTCCTACAGAATATAGAATAGTCAATACAGGAAATAGTTAACATATTTTTGTTTTGAGTTAAATTAAGAAATAAAATTACTTTCAAGTCCTAAAAGAAAAACATTTGTAACATAATATCAAGTGTCACATTAGGTACTTAATTCTCAACCTTATGAAAAAACATATTTTATCTTCATGGTCAAAAAATCATGGTTAAAAGGAAGTACTTAAATAAATTGTTGTATAAAAATCCAATAGTATGACTCCAGTAACCCTAATAATTACTTCAACGGAATAGTGTCCAAAATGGAAAGCTCAATAGAAGCAAAGGGGCTGGGGGAAGAATATAGAAGAATTTCTATTTATACTTATTTTTATTATCAAAATCAGAAACTAAACTTTATAAATATTCAATGTATAAACTACAAATGGCCTTTGGTAAGACCATAATCACATGTGTGGTACTCACGGTATCTGGAGGGAAAAATACAAACCCTTCAATATAGTGATAGGCACCTAGCTTACCTGTTAGCTCTTTTTCAGTATACTGTGACATGTGTGGCAATTTTCACGTGTCCTGTTCAGTGAAATTAACAGATGTGATTTAGTTTTCACTGACACAACAGGGAAGCTACAGAAGATTCCTGCAAAAACCCAACAGATTAAACAAAATATTAGTATCACAACAGAAGATAAATGGCAAAGTAACACTTCTTTTAATAAAACTCTGTTAGCTCTGTAAAAACTCAGGAAAATGTCTTCAAAACAATTAAGACAGTTATTTGAGAACACGTTTTCATCTCCCCTTGAAAGCTCGTGCCCTAAGTAAATATTATTTGGATTGCCAATGACAGCACACATATCATTTATAATAAGCAAACAGTAAGAAATGCTGATTGGGGTATATAACCCATACCCATGGAAATCAACTACATTTTAGCTCCTCCAACAAGGAATAGTTTATTTAGCCTTGGCATTGTTAAAACAAATTAATCCTAGGAATACAAACTTCATTTTTAAATGTATAGTGTCTATTACAATTAATAACTAATAAATATAAATAATCACCTTGTAATCAGTTATAAAGTCAACTGATAGGTATTTTAATCCAAGTAAGAACCTATTCTAAATAAGAAAAACTACAATTTGCCATATGACAAATAGAAGTTTTCTTCTCTTTAGAAAGTAATCCATTTATTATTTCAAAAACTGCAACCTATACTTTTAAGTAAGAGCTCAGTTTATTTAAACATTATATTTACACATTTGAGCTATTGCTAATTGCTTTATCAACGAAAACTTATTAGAAAATGGTATTTTTGCAGATGAATTTAACCGTATGTTATCTGTATAGTTCTATAGGTATATCAGTTAAAATTTATTAGAAAATGATATTTTTGCAGATGAATTTAATCATATGTTATCTGTATAGTTCTGTAGGTATATCAACATGCATGAGTACAAACACATGTACCTTTAAAATTAGAAATTCAACAACAAGTTGCAACCCTCTAATATACCTGAATCAAATCAGGCTGTTAGTAATAGCTAAGAGGTAAAGGGCTATCAAAAAATAATCTTCCCTAACAGGCAAAAATATAGGTGCTAACTAATGTATTTTAACAATGAGAAAACTAATCTGAAATAATTTCAATCTTTTCAGATTCATAGTACATCTTAAAAAGGCTATCTTAAAAAGAATGGCCATGGATTTAAGCTCATGCATATTTTAGTCAAATCCTTTTCTTTGGAGTAAGGCCTTAATCTCTCTTGTTCAGGGCACTATTTCAAGACTGAGGCTACAAAGTACAGTATGGAGCATAGACACTAAACAAAGCTATTCCTAGAATAAAGTGAAATAAAGCAGAAAACAGAATTGTTGCAACTATGCAATTTAAGATTAGGTAAATTTCACTTTGAGCAAATATTTGTGAAGAAAGGAGTCATTGTAAATCTAGGGAAAGGACATTCCAGTGAAAATAAACAGGAGATCCTGAGGTAAGAAATCCCAAAGGTAATCAAGTAAGTAATAGCAAGAATTCTTAGATGGAATAAGCAAGAGAAAAAGGAATTGATGTGAGAAAATTAATGAGGGGCCTCCCTGGTGGTGCAACGGGTTAAAATACAGCATTGCAAGCTAGCCTCAGCTGCTTCAGTGTGAGTTCAATGCCTGGCCCAGGAGCTGACAAATGGCAAATCAGACCTCTCCTGTCTCGCCCAGTGCTTCCTTCAACAGTGTATTTCATCAATCTGTCTGTCATGCTCCCTACTCTGTCTCTGGTAAATCCTCTCACTGCCCCTGCACCTCTGGCCTATATCCCAGCTCTGTATGCATAAATAAATAAGTCTTAAAAAAAGAAAATTAATGAGAAAGTGGGTGTGGAGGGTGAGACAGAACATAGCACAAATAACTTTCTAAGGCAAGAAATTATATTCTAAGTAAGATAGAAAAACCACTGAAGAGTTCTGTGCAAAGAAGAGACATAATCTGACTTTTGTTTTAATAAGAGCATTCTGGCTGTGATGAATAGACTGAAGGAAAACAAGGTCAAAAGCAGTGAGACCAGGTACAAAGCTATCAAATACTGGCAAGAGATCAGAGATTTAGGGTAAAAAGAGTTGGTGAGAGTCTAGCTATATTGTGAAAATAGCACTGATGAAAATTTCAGAGCTACCAGTCTAAAGAAGTTGTTACCAGTGTCAAGAAGAATCAAAAGGTTTGAACTTGGACGAGACTACTAAGTTTTATACTTGGAGTAAGAAAGAAGTTCAGGATGAAGTCCTGAGACAATCGAACATTGAAAGTGAAAAACTGACAGAGATCAGTGAAAGAAAGCCCAAGCACAAATGTTTGTTTATACATGTACACAACTGCAAATTATTCTAGTATATCTAGTAGATGCATGAGAGCACATATATATAATCTATATATAGATTATATAAAATCTAGATATAATCTAGAGTGTAGATAATCTAAAATTATAACCTATATATAGATTATATATATATATATAATTCTTTCCCCTAGTAGAACTCTTTAGTGATCCTAAAATTATAAACATGGGACATACATAAACTTCTTCCTCTCTTCCCCCAGTTTTTAACTGAACTAAACTATTGTGAGCCAATTATGCAAAGTGGTGATAATTAATTTACATCTTTAGACAGTGAAAGCTTTTACAAAGGATGATTAAATATTTAGCACTTCTAAGAAGGATGGAAGAAGAGGAAATAAGTCTTTATTACTAGAAAAAAATATGGGGTTTGCAGCACAAAAGAATGCAAATGTTGACTGTTGGACTCTGGCTTTGGTTCCACAAACAGATTTTGCTGTCTCTTTGCTTTGGACTTGTTCCATGTTGTACAATTCCCTTGAATGCTTAAATGCAAGAATGCTTTCAATTTGCTATTTAAATGAGGTGATTCTTGGAAATTCAATTTTTATTTAAAAAAAGGAAAAGTAGGTATAGAATCTTCTTATAGATAACATGAATTTTCCATATGTTTA